TGTGTAATCCTACGGGTTTAGTGCTTGCCCCTTGATTATAATAATAATATTCACTAGGGGTTGTATGGGCTTAGCACTTCCCTGTGAATATAATAAATTTAATCCCCAAAATAGGGAATAAAATAAACTACATGCAACAGTTTCAGAGGCAATCAAAACAATGCAAGACAGGCCACTGCAGATGATCTTTCACATGTCTCTGCTTTATCAGGAGCAGTGCAACAGGTGGACTGAGGGGAAGTTTTCTCAGAGGACAGGTAATGTGAACGATTATGAAACTTCTTTCTTTGTTTTTGGGTCACCCTGCCCTGGTGGGAGACGGCTGACTTGTTAAAATATATATATATATATATATATATTATATATATATATTATATATATATATATATATATATATATATATATATATATATATATATATATATATATATATATATATGCAAAACAACCACTCTGAAAGAATAGAGAAATTCCAAGCGCTTTCGTGACTACTCACATTATCAAGGAACTATGAAAGTAAAGCATCCAAGGAAGCTATATATATATATATATATATATATATAAGGAGTAGCAATAATGTTGAAGGATAAGCTATGGCAGGAAAAGAGGGACTACAAATGCATAAATTCAAGGATTATGTGGAGTAAAATAAAGATTGGATGTGAAAAGTGGGTTATAGTAAGCGTATATGCACCTGGAGAAGAGAGAAGTGTAGAGGAAATGCTTTCATCATCAGAAAATGCTTTCATCATCATTCAACACTTTCACCACACTCACACATTATCACTGTTTTTGCAGAGGTGCAAAATATCCCAAACTAATATCCCAAACCCCTCCTTTAAAGTGCAGGCATTGTACTTCCCATTTCCAGGACTCAAGTCCGACTATATGAAAATAACCGGTTTCCCTGAATCCCTTCACTAAATATTACCCTGCTCACACTCCAACAGATCGTCAGGTCCCAAGTACCATTCGTCTCCATTCACTCCTATCTAACATGCTCACGCACGCTTGCTGGAAGTCCAAGCCCTTCGCCCACAAAACCTCCTTTACCCCCTCTCTCCAACCCTTTCGAGGACGACCCCTACCCCGCCTTCCTTCCCCTATAGATTTATATGCTTTCCATGTCATTCTACTTTGATCCATTCTCTCTAAATGACCAAACCACCTCAACAACTCCTCTTCTGCCCTCTGACTAATGCTTAAATTAACTCCACACCTTCTCCTAATTTCCACACTCCGAATTTTCTGCATAATATTTACACCACACATTGCCCTTAGACAGGACATCTCCACTGCATCCAACCGTCTCCTCGCTGCTGCATTTACCACCCAAGCTTCACACCCATGTAAGAGTGTTGGTACTACTATACTTTCATACATTCCCTTCTTTGCCTCCATAGATAGCGTTTTTTGACTCCACATATACCTCAATGCACCACTCACCTTTTTTCCCTCATCAATTCTATGATTAACCTCATCCTTCATAAATCCATCCGCCGACACGTCAACTCCCAAGTATCTGAAAACATTCGCTTCTTCCATACTCCTCCTCCCCAATTTGATATCCAATTTTTCTTTATCTAAATCATTTGATACCCTCATCACCTTACTCTTTTCTATGTTCACTTTCAACTTTCTACCTTTACACACATTCCCAAACTCATCCACTAACCTTTGCAATTTTTCTTTAGAATCTCCCATAAGCACAGTATCATCAGCAAAAAGTAACTGTGTCAATTCCCATTTTGAATTTGATTCCCCATAATTTAATCCCACCCCTCTCCCGAACACCCTAGCATTTACTTCTTTTACAACCCCATCTATAAATATATTAAACAACCATGGTGACATTACACATCCCTGTCTAAGACCTACTTTTACCGGGAAGTATTCTCCCTCTCTTCTACACACCCTAACCTGAGCCTCACTATCCTCATAAAAGCTCTTTACAGCATTTAGTAACTTACCACCTATTCCATAAACTTGCAACATCTGCCACATTGCTCCTCTATCCACTCTATCATATGCCTTTTCTAAATCCATAAATGCAATAAAACTTCCCTACCTTTATCTAAATACTGTTCACATATATGCTTCAATGTAAACACTTGATCTACACATCCCCTACCCACTCTGAAGCCTCCCTGCTCATCCGCAATCCTACATTCTGTCTTACCTCTAATTCTTTCAATTATAACCCTACCGTATACTTTTCCTGGTAAGCTCAGTAAACTTATTCCTCTATAATTTTTACAATCTCTTTTGTCCCCTTTCCCTTTATAAAAAGGGATTATACATGCTCTCCGCCAATCCCTAGGTACCGTCCCCTCTTTCATACATTTATTAAACAAAAGTACCAACCACTCCAACACTATATCTCCCCCTGCTTTTAACATTTCTGTCATGATCCCATCAGTTCCAGCTGCTTTACCCCCTTTCATTCTACGTAATGCCTCACGTACCTCCACCACACTTACATTCTGCTCTTCTTCACTCCTAAAAGATGGTATACCTCCCTGGCCAGTGAATGAAATTACTGCCTCCCTTTCTTCCTCAACATTTAAAAGTTCCTCAAAATATTCTCGCCATCTACCTAATACCTCCATCTCCCCATCTACTAACTCCCCTACTCTGTTTTTAACTGACAAATCCATACTTTCCCTAGGCTTTCTTAACTTGTTTAACTCACTCCAAAATTTGTTCTTATTTTCATTAAAATTTTTTGACAGTGCCTCTCCCACTCTTTCATCTGCTCTCCTTTTGCACTCTCTCACCACTCTCTTCACCTTTCTTTTACTCTCCATATACTCTGCTCTTCTTATAACACTTCTACTTTGTAAAAACCTCTCATAAGCTAACTTTTTCTCTTTTATCACACCCTTTACTTCATCATTCCACCAATCACTCCTCTTTCCTCCTGCCCCCACCCTCCTATAACCACAAACTTCTGCCCCACATTCTAATACTGCATTTTTAAAACTATTCCAACCCTCTTCAACCCCCCCACTACTCATCTTTGCACTAGCCCACCTTTCTGCCAATAGTCGCTTATATCTCGCCCGAACTTCCTCCTCCCTTAGTTTATACACTTTCACCTCCCTCTTACTTGTTGTTGCCACCTTCCTCTTTTCCCATCTACCTCTTACTCTAACTGTAGCTACAACTAAATAATGATCAGATATATCAGTTGCCCCTCTATAAACATGTACATCCTGGAGCCTACCCATCAACCTTTTATCCACCAATACATAATCTAACATACTACTTTCATTACGTGCTACATCATACCTTGTATATTTATTTATCCTCTTTTTCATAAAATATGTATTACTTAATACCAAATTTCTTTCTACACATAACTCAATTAAAGGCTCCCCATTTACATTTACCCCTGGCACCCCAAATTTACCTACTACTCCCTCTATAACATTTTTACCCACTTTAGCATTGAAATCCCCAACCACCATTACTCTCACACTTGATTCAAAACTCCCCACGCATTCACTCAACATTTCCCAAAATCTCTCTCTCTCCTCTACACTTCTCTCTTCTCCAGGTACATACACGCTTACTATAACCCACTTTTCACATCCAATCTTTATTTTGCTCCACATAATCCTTGAATTAATACATTTGTAGTCCCTCTTTTCCTGCCATAGCTTATCCTTCAACATTATTGTTACTCCTTCTTTAGTTCTAACTCTATTTAAAACCCCTGACCTAATCCCATTTATTCCTCTCCATTGAAACTCTCCCACCCCCTTCAGCTTTGTTTCACTTAAAGCCAGGACATCCAGCTTCTTCTCATTCATAACATCCACAATCATCTCTTTCTTATCATTTGCACAACATCCACGCACATTCAGACTTCCCACTTTGACAATTTTTCTTCTTATTCTTATATTATATATTATATATATATATATATATATATATAATATATATATATATATATATATATATATATATATATACTGATAGTTCAGTGTATATGCATATATACTGATAGTTCAGTGTATATGCATATATACTGATAGTTCAGTGTATATGCATATATACTGATAGTTCAGTGTATATGCATATATACTGATAGTTCAGTGTATATGCATATATACTGATAGTTCAGTGTATATGCATATATACTGATAGCTCAGTGTTATACATATAGTATACTGACAGCTGAGTGTATATACATATATATTGATAGCTCAGTGTATATACATATAGTAGATACTGATAGCTCAGTGTATACACATACAGTATATATCGATAGCTCAGTGTATTTACATAGCATATACTTACAGCTCAATGTATATACATAGTATATACTGATAGCTCAGTGTATATACATTGAGTATACTTATAGCTCCGTGTATATACATAGTATGTATTGATAGCTCAGTGTATTTACATAGTGTATACTTACAGCTCAATGTATGTATATATAGTATATACTGAGATTACACTGTTTTAGGAATTAAAGTATTCTAATAGGCCTGAAGCCTAATAAAGCTATAATAAAGGGTATATACATTGAGGTGTGTATATACACACCTGGAGTTGATTTTATTCTGATTTTATTCTTTATTTTAGGAATTAAAGTCCCTTTAATGGGGAAATGTACCGATGCTAGTGAAAGTTTTGATCCAAGGAATCTGCGCTATCCTACCTTTCCTTAAATCAAGCTTAATTCCCATTCCCCAGAGGCTATATAACCCCTATGGGTTTAGCGCTTGCCCATGATTATAATAATGATAATAGATTATTCCTTAATATTGGGATTGAGGTTACCTTAATGTCAATGGCCATGATAATGCTTATTTAGCCACCAGGATTTAACTTTAACAAGGGAACTCTTGTTAATAAAATTTTATCTTAGTATTCTAACCTAGCTGGGTAATTTAAGTGAATTTATATTAAGTATTTGGTGAGCAAAAATGGCGAAATTTTGGAAAATTCCTAAAAAAATTAAGGGACCGTCGAATTTTAGAAGGAGTTGTTAGGGGAGTTGAGTGACGTTAATGGCGGGAGGAAGACGTGTGGAGCTCTGCTGCCATTAAACAGGTCAGTTTAATGTTGAAAATGGTGTAAAATAACGTCAGGTTGAAGATTAAGACACGTGTGCAAGAGCTGGGTATCTTTATTGATGTTTCCAGACACCTGTTGATGTTCACCAGCAGTAAGTAGGTACCTGGGTGTTAGTGGACTGGTGTGGGTCGCATCCTGGGGGACAAAATTGACATAAGTAGCTTTGTATATAGTATGTCAGTTATGGTTTGTATACCTTGTATATGTACTGGTAGAAATAAAGATTATAAACGTTTCGCCTACACAGCAGGCTTCTTTCGCTGCCTTTGTATTTTGAATTAGACACGTGCGACATTTTGCTATCTATTTGTAGACGTGCAGGGCTGTATAGCCCTTGTGGTTTAGCGCTTCTTTTTTATTATAATAATAATATTTGTAGACGTTTCGTCTACAAATAAAGATGCCCAGATGTCGCACACGTGTCTAATTTCTCATTTTGTCGAGATTGTGTACCATTTAGACACAACCCGCTGTATTTGAATAAGCCTACTACTGTATAGGCCTGAGGTCGGCAGACTTTTTTGGTTATACCCCAAAAAAAATTTTTGGATATACCCCAAAACATTTTTGGTTATACCCCAAAACAAATTTTTGGTTATTACCCCTAAACAAATTTTTGGTTATACCCCAAAACATTTTTGGTTATACCCCAAAACAAATTTTTGGTTATTACCCCTAAACAAATTTTTGGTTATACCCCAAAACATTTTTGGTTATTACCCCAAAACAAATTTGTGTACAGCAAAATTACCCACTAAAAGTCCACAGACTGGAAAACACGACGAACATTCAGATTTAAAATAGTTATTGAACCCGTTTATATGGAGAATAGTCATACACGTTTAAAAGTATGTCCCCTAAAGGGAGGTTCCTTGACGCTGGTGAGGGGCTCTTGATCTGGGAAATTGGATCTGTGTTCCGGTTGTCTGACTTGAGCCTAAATACCTTCCATCATCTCCCCCCCCCCACATGCGCTGTATAATCCTATGGGTTTAGCGCTCCCCCATGATTATAATATACCCGGAGATGTTAATTTTTACCCCATTTAGGGTAATTTTTACCCCATTTAGGGTAATTTACCCCGGTTCCCCGACCTCTGGCTATGAGCGAAACGTTTCAACAGTAAAGATACCCAGGTGTTGGACGTGTCTTAATCTTCAGGTCAATTTATATCACTAAATAAATAAATATATATATATTATATCGTGACTTCCAGAGTTGTATAATATATACCCAGGCTGGAGTATATTATGAGGTATGATATATGTGGACCGGGAGGAAGATTTGTGGCGAGACGAAACAAAAATCAGGTCTTGGAGGCGGTTATCTGCAGCGCTGGCAGACCCTTACGGATTTAGCGCTTATATATGATTATAATAGTATTGTAATAACGAGGCAGTTACGTTTTTAAGGGGTTGTATGACCCTTACGTGTTTAGCACTTAGGTTTGATTAATACAGTAACGTTATAAGAGACTCGAGGAAGGTGCCTTGATCTTGATCCAAGGTATTGGAGCCACCTTCCCTCCTTCCTCGGATTAAATCTGATTGCCTCCCGTTTATTCAGGCGCTGTATGACCTATACGGGTTTAACGCTTTATATTCCTGGGAGCCTTCAAGGGATGGAGGCGGGGTCATGACACTGGTCAAGGCCTCTTGATCCAAGGAATTAAAGTCCATCATCTTCCTTGGAGCAAACCTGATTGCTTCCTATTACCCAGCGACTCCTGCGTGTTTCGCGCTTCTTAACGAAAGTGGCATGTCCGATATGAAGGGAGGGGGGTGCCTTGATGAAGGGCTCTTGATCGTAGGAATTGGAACAATCCTTCCCTTGGATCAAACTTCATTGCCTCCCTTTCCCCAAGCGTCGTGACTTACGGGTTTAGTATTTTTCCACGAATATAATACAACGTGGCTACCAAACTGTTTCAGCTAGGTTACCTTTCCTATATAATAATATAATAAATAATATAAAATAAATATAATTATGAATACCATAAATTTGTTCCTCTTCTGCAGTATACAAGTAACGTAGTTTACTTGTAATAAAATACTTAGGCACAACCAAGCCACTAACATACTGAACACAAGATTACATTGTAGAAATAATGATTATTATTATCATTATCATTATTATCATTATTATCATTTATCATTATCATTATCATCATTATCATTATCATCATTATCATTATCATCATTATCATTATCATCATTATCATTATCATTATCATCATTATCATTATCATTATCATCATTATCATTATCATTATCATTATCATCATTATCATTATCATCATCATTATCATCATTATCATTATCATCATTATCATCATTATCATTATCATCATTATCATTATCATTATCATCATTATCATTATCATTATCATCTATCAATATCATTATCATTATCATCATCATTATCATTATCATTATCAATCATTATCATTATATATCATCATTATCATCATTAATCATTATCATCATTATCATCATTATCATTATCATCATTATCATTAATCATCATTATCATCATTATCATCATCATATATCATCATATATCATTATCATATCATCTTATCATCATTATCATCATTATCATCATTATCATCATTATCATCATTATCATTAATCATCATTTATCATTAATCATCATCATATCATCATTATCATCATTATCATATTATCATCATCATTATCATTCATTTATCATTATCATCATTATCATCATTATCATCATCATTTATCATCATTATCATATCATTATCATCATTATCATCATCATCATCATTTCATTATCCATCATTTATCATTATCATCATCATCATTATCATTATCATCATTATCATTATCATCATCATTATCATCATTATCATTATCATCATTATCATTATCATCATTAATCATTATCATCATATCATTATCATCATCATTATCTCATTATCATCATTATCATCCATTATCATCATTATCTCACCATCATCATTCATCTTATCATCATTATCATCATTTTCACATTAATCATTTATCATCATCATCATTATCATCATTCCTTATCATCACAGTTCTGTCCATCATCACATTTCATCATTACACATCATATCATCATTAATCATACATTGTACATTACATCACTCACATTATCATAATCATATCACATTTACATCATTGTCTCTTATCATCACATTATCATTCCCTTCAATCATCATTACTCACCATTATCAATCACATGTTCAATCCATTACATCATTATCCACACACATCATGGTCCTCGTCCAACATCATTCTCGTCCCACCACATCACTCCTCCGTCCCACACATCCAGGTCCTCTCCACCACATCATGTGGCCTCGTTCCAAATTACTGGTAGATCCACACATATAGTAACGTTCCCACATATACTGTGTGTACATTCACGCAACATCACTAGGTTGTGAACATTAAATGACATTTTTCAGTGGTTCAGAATTCTTTACATTTCTGATGTAGGTCCTCGTTCTCTATGGCACCATTACTGGGATCCTCGTCCCCACCATAATAGGTGGGTTACCTTCGTCCACTACATATGGGTCCCGTCCCCACCACATCACTGGGTCCTCGTCCCCACCACATCACTGGGTCCTCGTCCCCACCACATCACTGGGTCCTCGTCCCCACCACATCACTGGGTCCTCGTCCCCACCACATCACTGGGTCCTCGTCCCCACCACATCACTGGGTCCTCGTCCCCACCACATCACATGGGTCCTCGTCCCCACCACATCATGGGTCCTCGTCCCCACCACATCACTGGGTCCTCGTCCCCACCACATCACTGGGTCCTCGTCCCCACCACATCACTGGGTCCTCGTCCCCACCACATCACTGGGTCCTCGTCCCCACCACATCACTGGGTCCTCGTCCCCACCACATCACTGGGTCCTCGTCCCCACCACATCACTGGGTCCTCGTTCCCACCACATCACTGGGTCCTCGTCCCCACCACATCACTGGGTCCTCGTCCCCACCACATCACTGGGTCCTCGTCCCCACCACATCACTGGGCCCTCGTCCCCACCACATCACAGTGGGTCCTCGTCCCCACCACATCACAGTGGGTCCTCGTCCCCACCACATCACAGTGGGTCCTCGTCCCCACCACATCACAGTGGGTCCTCGTCCCCACCACATCACAGTGGGTCCTCGTCCCCACCACATCACAGTGGGTCCTCGTCCCCACCACATCACAGTGGGTCCTCGTCCCCACCACATCACAGTGGGTCCTCGTCCCCACCACATCACAGTGGGTCCTCGTCCCCACCACAACAGTGCGTCCTCGTCCCCACCACATCACAGTGGGTCCTCGTCCCCACCACATCACAGTGGGTCCTCGTCCCCACCACAACAGTGCGTCCTCGTCTCCACCACATCACAGTGGGTCCTCGTCCCCACCACATAACAGTGGGTCCTCGTCTCCACATCACAGTGGGTCCTCGTCTCCACATCACAGTGGGTCCTCGTCCCCACCACATCACAGTGGGTCCTCGTCCCCACCACATAACAGTGGGTCCTCGTCCCCACCACATAACAGTGGGTCCTCGTCCCCACCACATAACAGTGGGTCCTCGTCTCCACCACATCACAGTGGGTCCTCGTCTCCACATCACAGTGGGTCCTCGTCCCCACCACATAAGTGGGTCCTCGTCCCCACCACATAACAGTGGGTCCTCGTCCCCACCACATAACAGTGGGTCCTCGTCCCCACCACATCACAGTGGGTCCTCGTCTCCACATCACAATGGGTCCTCGTCTCCACCACATCACAGTGGGTCCTCGTCTCCACCACATCACAGTGGGTCCTCGTCTCCACCACATCACAATGGGTCCTCGTCTCCACATCACAGTGGGTCCTCGTCTCCACCACATCACAGTGGGTCCTCGTCTCCACCATATCACAGTGGGTCCTCGTCTCCACCACATCACAGTGGGTCCTCGTCTCCACCACATCACAGTGGGTCCTCGTCTCCACCACATAACAGTGGGTCCTCGTCTCCAGCACATCACAGTGGGTCCTCGTCTCCACTACATCACAGTGGGTCCTCGTCTCCACTACATCACAGTGGGTCCTCGTTCCAGCACATCACAGTGGGTCCTCGTCTCCACTACATCACAGTGGGTCCTCGTCTCCAGCACATCACAGTGGGTCCTCGTCTCCACTACATCACAGTGGGTCCTCGTCTCCAGCACATCACAGTGGGTCCTTGTCTCCACTACATCACAGTGGGTCCTCGTCTCCACTACATCACAGTGGGTCCTCGTCTCCAGCACATCACAGTGGGTCCTCGTCTCCACTACATCACAGTGGGTCCTCGTCTCCAGCACATCACAGTGGGTCCTCGTCTCCACTACATCACAGTGGGTCCTCGTCTCCAGCACATCACAGTGGGTCCTCGTCTCCACTACATCACAGTGGGTCCTCGTCTCCACTACATCACAGTGGGTCCTCGTCTCCAGCACATCACAGTGGTTCCTCGTCTCCACTACATCACAGTGGGTCCTCGTCTCCAGCACATCACAGTGGGTCCTCGTCTCCACTACATCACAGTGGGTCCTCGTCTCCAGCACATCACAGTGGGTCCTCGTCTCCACTACATCACAGTGGGTCCTCGTCTCCAGCACATCACAGTGGGTCCTCGTCTCCACTACATCACAGTGGGTCCTCGTCTCCAGCACATCACAGTGGGTCCTCGTCTCCACTACATCAGTGGGTCCTCGTCTCCAGCACATCACAGTGGGTCCTCGTCTCCACTACATCACAGTGGGTCCTCGTCTCCAGCACATCACAGTGGGTCCTCGTCTCCACTACATCACAGTGGGTCCTCGTCTCCAGCACATCACAGTGGGTCCTCGTCTCCACTACATCACAGTGGGTCCTCGTCTCCAGCACATCACAGTGGGTCCTCGTCTCCACTACATCACAGTGGGTCCTCGTCTCCACACATCACAGTGGGTCCTCGTCTCCACTACATCACAGTGGGTCCTCGTCTCCAGCACATCACAGTGGGTCCTCGTCTCACACTACATCACAAGTGGGTCCTCGTCTCCAGCACATCACAGTGGGTCCTCGTCTCCACTACATCACAGTGGGTCCTCGTCTCCAGCACATCACATGGGTCCTCGTCTCCACTACATCACAGTGGGTCCTCGTCTCCAGCACATCACAGTGGGTCCTCGTCTCCACTACATCACAGTGGGTCCTCGTCTCCACTACATCACAGTGGGTCCTCGTCTCCACCACATCACAGTGGGTCCTCGTCTCCACTACATCACAGTGGGTCCTCGTCTCCACTACATCACAGTGGGTCCTCGTCTCCACCACATCACAGTGGGTCCTCGTCTCCACTACATCACAGTGGGTCCTCGTCTCCACTACATCACAGTGGGTCCTCGTCTCCGCCACATCACAGTGGGTCCTCGTCTCCAGCACATCACAGTGGGTCCTCGTCTCCGCCACATCACAGTGGGTCCTCGTCTCCACCACATCACAGTGGGTCCTCGTCTCCACCACATCACAGTGGGTCCTCGTCTCCGCCACATCACAGTGGGTCCTCGTCTCCGCCACATCACAGTGGGTCCTCGTCTCCGCCACATCACAGTGGGTCCTCGTCTCCGCCACATCACAGTGGGTCCTCGTCTCCACATCACAGTGGGTCCTCGTCTCCACCACATCACAGTGGGTCCTCGTCTCCGCCACATCACAGTGGGTCCTCGTCTCCACATCACAGTGGGTCCTCGTCTCCACCACATCACAGTGGGTCCTCGTCTCCGCCATATAACTAGTTTTCATTCTTAACTTCGATTGTTTAACCTCGAGAGTCTGTTAATGAACAGATCGCAAACACACAACATAAAATGAACACATTTAGCGAGATATTTTTTATACTGTTCTGAGTTAACCCCCCCCCCCCCATCCCCATTGGAAATGACTTAGTCTCTCCCCCCCCCCCTGGTAAGAACCGCTGGACTAACATGTGCACCACAATAATATAAGACTAAGCTTTCTTTTGTAAATGTAACCATGTAACATATTTCTGTATGTTTTTTCTTGTTGGAATTTAAATAAAACTACAGGTTTAGCGCTTCTTTTTGATAATAATGAAACTGCAGATAGGAAATCCCTTAAAGTGGATGCCAGTAACGTGGTAAAAATATCTACCCAAGACAGGACTCGCAGCATGGAGTTAGTTGGAAAAATTTAGATTTAGAAAGGATATAGGAAAGCGCTGGTTTGGTAATACAGATGTGGATGAGCAGAAAGGAGGCATTTTCACACTGAATAAGGGTTTTTGATACAAGGAATTGGAGCTACCCTCCCTCAGATCAACCTTAAACACTCCCCTTCCTAAGATCAAACCTAATCCCTTACCCAGAACAAACTTTATTACGTTTCGTTCCCCCCAGACGCTGTATAATCCCTACGAGTTTAGCCCTCCCCTAATAATAGCAGACGGATGAATAATGGTGTATTAGAGCACATATTGGATAGGGTAAATAAAGGACAAAGTAGAACAGCGTACTGTATATACCATTCACAGAGAAGTTAGCATCGGACTCCAGAAACACTGAAACACTGAGAATTTTCGAGGGTAACTGGAGGTGTCATCCTATGTGATGTACACTAGGTAGGGTAACTGGAGGTGTCATCCTATGTGATGTATACTAGGTAGGGTAACTGGAGGTGTCATCCTATGTGATGTATACTAGGTAGGTTAACGAGATGTCATCCTATGTGATGTATACTAGGTAGGGTAACTGGAGGTGTCATCCTATGTGATGTACACTAGGTAGGGTAACTGGAGGTGTCATCCTATGTGATGTATACTAGGTAGGGTAACTGGAGGTGTCATCCTATGTGATGTATACTAGGTAGGGTAACTGGAGGTGTCATCCTATGTGATGTATACTAGGTAGGGTAACGAGGTGTCATCCTATGTGATGTATACTAGGTAGGGTAACTGGAGGTGTCATCCTATGTGATGTACACTAGGTAGGGTAACTGGAGGTGTCATCCTATGTGATGTATACTAGGTAGGGTAACTGGAGGTGTCATCCTATGTGATGTATACTAGGTAGGGTAACTGGAGGTGTCATCCTATGTGACGTACACTAGGTAGGGTAACTGGAGGTGTCATCCTATGTGATGTACACTAGGTAGGGTAACTGGAGGTGTCATCCTATGTGACGTACACTAGGTAGGGTAACTGGAGGTGTCATCCTAGGTGATGTATACTAGGTAGGGTAACTGGAGGTGTCATCCTATGTGATGTACACTAGGTAGGGTAACTGGATGTGTCATCCTATGTGATGTACACTAGGTAGGGTAACTGGAGGTGTCATCCTATGTGATGTATACTAGGTAGGGTAACTGGAGGTGTCATCCTATGTGATGTATACTAGGTAGGTTAACGAGATGTCATCCTATGTGATGTACACTAGGTAGGGTAACTGTAGGTGTCATCCTATGTGACGTACACTAGGTAGGGTAACTGGAGGTGTCATCCTAGGTGATGTACACCAGGCAGGGTAACTGGAGGTGTCATCCTAGGTGATGTACACCAGGCAGGGTAACTGGAGGTGTCATCCTAGGTGATGTACACCAGGCAGGGTAACGAGGTGTCATCCTAGGTGATGTACACCAGGCAGGGTAACTGGAGGTGTCATCCTAGGTGATGTACACCAGGCAGGGTAACTGGAGGTGTCATCCTAGGTGGTGTACACCAGGCAGGGTAACTGGAGGTGTCATCCTAGGTGATGTACACCAGGCAGGGTAACTGGAGGTGTCATCCTAGGTGATGTGTACCAAGTAGGGTAACTGGAGGTGTCATCCTAGGTGATGTACACCAGGCAGGGTAACTGGAGGTGTCATCCTAGGTGATGTACACCAGGCAGGGTAACTGGAGGTGTCATCCTGGGTGATGTGTACCAAGTAGGGTAACTGGAGGTGTCATCCTAGGTGATGTACACCAGGCAGGGTAACTGGAGGTGTCATCCTAGGTGATGTGTACCAAGTAGGGTAAATGGAGGTGTCATCCTAGGTGATGTACACCAGGCAGGGTAACTGGAGGTGTCATCCTACGTGATGTGTACCAAGTAGGGTAACTGGAGGTGTCATCCTAGGTGATGTACACCAGGCAGGGTAACTGGAGGTGTCATTCTAGGTGATGTACACCAGGCAGGGTAACTGGAGGTGTCATCCTAGGTGATGTACACCAGGCCGGGTAAGAGGTGGCTCCCACTACCTGTCATACTTTATTTTTTTTCCTAGGAGCTGGCCAGCATCTTTTTTTTTTATGATGATGAACGACACCTTACCTTATTATCCTAAGTGACTGGCACCTTCTACCCATCTCCTTATACCCTGCTATGAACCCTCAGACTATAGCCACTTCTGGGTATTGGCAGAACCTTGTACCGATGTTAAAGTTATTCCCTGTGGTACCTGTGACCCCTCCGTTGCTCAACCTTGACCATGACGAACTACTGTCTCTGTTTAGAATACTAATTAAGACGATATTAAATGTGTAAATTGTTTGACTTCATACGTAAATTCCCAGTAACGATTTGTTATTTGTTTTTTTTCAGTAAACGACGTGATTGTATCAAGACCCACTAGGCGATAGTCCCTACTAGCCAGGTGGTTGCCCATACTAACGAGGTGTTTGCACCAAGACTTGCCATTATGGATGTGATCTCAGAGAGGATTGAGAATGACCCTAGTGCTTGCCAGCCCACTGGTGGTCAACTGCCTTCTACTGCCACAGTTACGCCGCACAAATTTATACAACATAACATCTGTGACCGCAAATTTGTTCTTAGTACGTTGCTTCCCGCGGCATCTAGCACTCCCAGCGTCAATTACCAGAATAGGTCTCGGGCAATCAACCCACTTCTTAATGAAACGTTTTCGTTTCAGGATCCAGATGGAAATTTAGTGACTAGGAGTCCGGTTCCTTTAATTAGTTCGCCTTTGGAAAAGGAAACCCCAGAGTGCTCGAGAATAATGAAGAAAACTCTCCCAATTCACTCAGAATGTGGTAAAAATATTTCTAACCCTGATCTCACTTCTGCGTGTCACGCTTCTAACATTGTAAATAATGAAATAGTTTTTAAAGACTTCTCTAATAGAGCAAGTTGTTCCAAAGATGATTTGGTAAGTAGAGTAGAGACTGCAGAGTTTTCACGACCCGAGAGTACTGAAGCTTTGAATACTACAGTGGATGAGAGTAGCATGGACGCTCCTCATGCAGTACAGGACTCCATGAACAGTACGTTTATAGTCGATACAACACAGCGGGTGAAAATTGGCGAGAGTTTTCTTCACGATGTGTCTGAGTTCTGCGTGTTTGAAGACGCCATACCAGAGAAGCCAAGCGTTGACGCTCAAGAAACGGGGAAAAGGGATAACTCTTCCTTGGCGGACGATTCTGCCTTGGAAGGTCATTCCTTAGATCACTCCGAAGGGGATTTGAGTAGAGCAAAGATTACAGAGTTTTCACGACAGGAGCGCACTAAAACTTTAAATGCTACGATGCATGAGAGTAGAATGCCTGCTCGTGCAATAAAGAACTCCATGAACAGTACCTTTACAGTTGAAACTACACAGCTTGTCAACATCAGCGAGAGTTATCTACACGATGACTTAGAGCTCTCAGTGTCTGAAGACATGCCTGAGAAGCCAGCTTTTGACGCTCTGGAAACTTGGAAGTTTGACCACTCTTCCTTTGAGGATTACTCCTTGGACCACGACAGTGTCGTGGATGATTCCTTGCCCGGGTTCACACCTATTGAGTATTCAGACGTTAGAAATTGCTATGATGATAGTAATGGCCTTTTAGAAGATATAAGTGATAGTATACTAAATTATTCTGGAACTAGTTCATTAAGTAACGAGAATACAGAGGAAATGCCTGTAGGTGATTGCATACCAGACCCTGATGATGATGATTATGACACAAAATACAACTTCGGTATGAATGAGGAACGGGGATTATACAGACATGGACAAGACAGAGAAGACTTTGCATTTGCACAGTGTGATACTTGCTGTAACCAATTTTGTTATTGCAGCAAAAATAAAGTGCCTAGTACAGACGGACCAGGGATAAAATTCGCTACAGTTAACACAGGACCTGATACCACACCTTTCATACAAGGGGATGTGTTGCACGTCACGTTGATAGAGGATATTAATGACAGTATATTAAATTATACAACTAGAACAGTTAGTGAAATTGATGATGCAGAGCAGACCAGAGTAACACATGCAGACTGTAAAGGTTACGAAAATGGAAATGTTTTCCACGATGCCAGTGCTACTGACAGTTACGTGTACGAAAATAAACAACCATACTATAAAGAAATAGATTCAGAGGTGGAAGTGATTGATTATAGGGTAGATGGTGGTTCAGATTTTGATTATACACGTAGTTGTGATCCAGTTGTAAGCCCAGACTACAGTTCGAATTTGTTCGAAGACACTGGTGGTTCTTGCCTTAATCACGATCAAAAGAACGCTGCTAATTTTCCTGAGCTTGATAGTGATTCTAAGCCAGAGTTATGGAGTGACGATTCAGGAGGAATGGAAAATAAAAGTCAAATGTGTTAACGGCAAGTCTAGTTACGCATTATTACCAGAAAACTGAAACAACGTATCCTAGCAACGTGAAGGAAACTAGTTCAGCTGGAGGTGTTGATAAGGAACAACGGGACAGCAAGATTATCACTGTTGGTCCAGTAAACCAAACGAGTTCGTCATCTATGTATCAAGGAACAGTGGTTCATGCCATTATCACTGTGGTCAAGAAACAATTTTGAGTTATAGTCATTCTATGTCAGATTAGGAACACGGAGAATGCAAGCAAGTCCAATGTTGCAGAAGCAAATGAGTCGTCATCTATGTTGAACAAGGAAAGGAACAGCAAGTATCCTTAGCAAGCGAAAGAACATCCAGTTGTCACTGATTGACCAGAACAACGGAGCATCCAGTGTCACTGTTGATCCAGAAAACAAGCACCGATTGTCACTGTTGATCAGAAACACAGCATCCAGTTGTCACTGTTGATCAGAAACAAGCATCCATTGTCATCTGTTGATCAAGGAAAACAGGACATGCAAGCTGTCACTGTTGTCCAGAAACAGAGCATCCAGTTGTCATGTTGATCCAGAACACGACGCAATCCATTGTCACTGTTGATCCAGAAACAGAACATCCAGCTGTCACTGTTGATCCAGAAACGCAGTATGCAGCTGTCACTGTTGATCCAGAAACAGAGCATCCAGTTGTCACTGTTGATCCAGAAACAGACCATGCAGCTGTCACTGTTGATCCAGAAACAGAGCATCCAGTTGTCACTGTTGATCCAGAAACAGAGCATCCGTTGTCACTGTTGATCCAGAAACAAGACCATGCCAGCTGTCACTGTTGATCCAGAAACACAGCATCCCGTTGTCACTGTTGATCCAGAAACACAGCATCCAGCTGTCACTGTTGATCCAGAAACAGAGCATCCAGTTGTCACTGTTGATCCAGAAACAGAGCATCCAGTTGTCACTGTTGATCCAGAAACAGAGCATCCAGTTGTCACTGTTGATCCAGAAACAGACCATGCAGCTGTCACTGTTGATCCAGAAACAGAGCATCCAGTTGTCACTGTTGATCCAGAAACAGAGCATCCAGTTGTCACTGTTGATCCAGAAACAGACCATCGTTGTCCACTGTTGATGAATCTCAAGATAGTTTTGTTGAAGAATCAGACCAAGACAGTTCCACTGATCAAGAATCAGACCAGAACAGTTCTATTGATCAAGAATCAAACCAAAACGGTTCTATTGATCACAGATTAGACCAAAACCATTCTGTTGATCAACAATCGATAGAAACTAAAGCAGCTAAACACGAAATAGTTACTCGTCTATCCCGTACTGCGAATAGTCATGTACTAGACTATCACATGCTCATTTCTAAGACAGGAGAAGACGAGACTACTACTACTATTACCCAAGGTGAGCAGGTCAACAGTGAGAATGAAATGCACGACCCAAGGACTTCAGTTAATTTAAGAATAGACGTACCTTCTGCTACTGCTTTAACTAGCCTAGATGTAGATTCATCAGTTGCTTCGGCTGTCCATGGAATGGTCCTGGTCACAGCTGCGGTTTGCCTAGAAACAGACCAACTACCAGCTGATAGCCAAGGAACTAACCAACCACCAACTGATAGCCAAGGAACTAACCAACCACCAACTGATAGCCAAGGAACTAACCAACCACCAACTGATAGCCAAGGAACTAACCAACCACCAACTGATAGCCAAGGAACTAACCAACCACCAACTGATAGCCAAGGAACTAACCAACCACCAACTGATAGCCAAGGGTAACAACACACGATATCCAAGAACATCACCATACTGATAGCCAAGGAACTAACCAACCATCAACTGATAGCCAAGGAACTAACCAACCATCAACTGATAGCCAAGGAACTAACCAACCACCAACTGATAGCCAAGGAACTATCCAACCACCAACTGATAGTCAAGGAACTAACCAACCACCAACTGATAGTCAAGGAACTAACCAACCACCAACTGATAGCCAAGGAACTATCCAACCACCTACTGATAGCCAAGGAACTGACCAGCCACCTGCTACCCTTGAAACAGACTCGCCACCACCTGCTGGCCATGGTACTGACCAACCACCACCTGCTAGCCAAGGAACACACCCACCACTACTTGCTAGCCAAGGAACTGACCAACCATCACCTGCTAGCCAAGAAAGTGATCAGCCATCACCTGCTAGCCAAGAAAGTGGATCAGCCATCACCTGCTAGCCAAGAAGCTGACCAACCATCACCTGCTAGCCAGAGAACTGACCAGCCACCACCACCTAGCCATGGAACTAACCAGCCACCACCACCTAGCCATGGAACTAACCGGCCACCACCTGCTAGCAGTGTAACTGGCCAACCACCATCTGCTAGCCAGAAATTAAGTCATCTTAGCACTACCAGCAGTCAAGAAACAGGTGAAACCAGTTCTGCCAATAGCTTGGGAAAAGATCTCTCCACAGTTGGTGTGATGGCTTCATTATCAGAGACTGCTCTGAAGGTGGGAACACCACCACCTGAATGTTCTCTTCAGCATGATGTCGAGGTGCCTGGAGTTGCATCTTGTGTATCTGTCATCCTGAAACATGAGACAAGAAGTACCAGTAAGAAGGTCGTACAGGGTGATCTTAGTGTAGCACCAATGCTGGGCGATGTTTTCAATGAGGAACTTAGAGGATTAGAGGAAGTTGTGAAATTAGGCTCGACAGAGAGTTCTTCACTGTGTACATTTAATAGGCTTATGCCAGTACCATGCGAGGCAGATGGCTTGTCTGAGCCTATTGGATTAGAATCCAAGACTAATGCTACCACCGAGCCTACTGGCGATACTGCAGACCTTGAATTGTGTAAGTCTACTCCGGGAACGCCGGCATTATACACATCAGATAGTTCGTTTGAGAATATTTTAGAATCCAAGCGTCAAGTTGTCATGGAGGGTAGTGATGTTATCCTGGACCTGGATGCATATGATGCCTGTCCATCACGAGAAGCCAACACCATTGACACAGTGCTTTACATCACTCCCACTGAGGTAAGTTGATTTAGATTTCAATAAAACACTTGTGCAACACTTGGGTGTCTTTATTGCCAGCAATATCAGCAATAAAGATACCCAAGTGTTGCGAATGCTTCTTGTACATCAACTTGACGGTGTTGGACACTTCTCTAAATATGCACACCACTTTTGTACTCCACTTCACATTTATACACCACTTGACACTTGCCGTTAGCGCTTAGAACCGCAAAGGGGTAAAAATTCACAATTTTTGACTTCATTGTCTTCATATATTTTTTGTGTCCATAATATATATGCGCCCACAAAACCGTTGTAAAAAATTGTATATTGTGTACGCTAAAAGTAGAGGTTTATTCTGTGACTATTGTTAGTGAATTAGTAATAACCTCTACTGTCAAGGCTGCTGACACTGTGTGAAGAGGCGGCTGTTCCTCGTATACCTTTTAAGAGTGCGAATTGTTGCTGTCCTGGATCTCTAAGTCACAAATGTTGAAGTAAACTCGTGGGAAACAAAACCCGAAATGTGAGGAGCCTGGTCTCAGACCGAGCCGCGGGGGCGTTGACCCCCGAAACCCTCTCCAGATATACTCCAGGTATCTAGTTCTTCAACCGTGATCGCCTTCAGCAGTACAGAAACAAAGAGGGAATCCTAAATTTAGTGGGGTACACAGAAGTTTGCACCTGAAGGGGTTTCAAGAAATAATACGAAAAACTTTACGATTTTGTGTATGATGAGGCGTTGGACTCGACTGTCTTAGTAAGTTTAAACCGTTTTGTGATGACTGGAAAATATCACAATTGGGAATGGAGTTAGGGGGTGACTGATTTTCCTTTCGTGTTATATCAGCAGTCATATTTTGTGATCATGGTGGCTCATTTTTTAGTTGATAGAATGATTTTCTTTGTGATGGAATATGGCCAAACTATCGATATCTGTCATGTGTGGCCCGGTGGTCTGGTGGCTAAAGCTCCCGTTTCACACACGGAGGGCCCGGGTTCGATTCCCGGCGGGTGGAAACATTTGACACGTTTCCTTACACCTGTTGTCCTGTTCACCTAGCAGCAAATAGGTACCTGGGTGTTAGTCGACTGGTGTGGGTCGCATCCTGGGGGACAAGATTAAGGACCCCAATGGAAATAAGTTAGACAGTCCTCGATGAGGCACTGACTTTCTTGGGTTATCCTGGGTGGCTAACCCTCCGGGGTTAAAAATCCGAACGAAATCTTATCTTATCTTATCTTATGACTTTTGTGTTCATTAATGCGTGTTTTCAGATCACTTTGTCTGGCCTAGGTATTTTTGCTAAGTCGTTGTACATAGACGCCTGGTGTGTCTGAGGATGCTGGATTTTTTTGAAGAAAAATAGGATGACTTGGAGGGTGTATAAATCTGTAGTGGAGGGAAGGCGCGGGGTAGGGGTCGTCCTAGGAATGGATGGAGGGGGGGGAGGGTAAAAGAGGCTTTGTGTGCAAGGGGCTTGGACATCAGCAGGCATGTGTGGGTGGAGGCAAATGGTTTTTAGGACTTGACGAGCTGTTGGAGTGTGAGCAAGGTAATATTCTGTGAAGGGATTCAGGGAAACCGGTTAGCTAAACTTGAATCCTGGAGGTGGGAAGTACAATGTCTGCACTTTAAAGGAGGGGTTTGAGACATTTAGTGTGTAGTGAAATAAAGTACCGTATCTGCGTGCCTATGGCAAGACAGTGATAGCGTGAATGATGGTGACAGGATTTCTTTTTTTTTTTGGTCACCCTGCCTCGGTGGGACACATTAATGTATACATAAAATTCTTAAGATAGGCCGTCTCCAGCCAAGGGAGGGTGACTCGACGAAGAAAATACTTTTACCAACATCCGCTAACATACAAACATACACTTAGATTTATATAATTGATCATATTAAAGAACCCATTAGTTGCATCACTTCCAAGCTGCTCTCGTCAAGGCTGAACATTTTTATCACAAACTAGTGGTACATCATTGATGACTAATTTACGTTTGTGTACAGGTTTGTGTGAAGGATGAAGACCAGGTGAATCCCAGTGTGGGAGAGGAAGTGTACGAGGGTGTGGGTGAGAGTGACACCAGTATTCAGAGTGTGGCTAGCAGGAGAGCAGAGGTTGCTCCAGGTATGCCAAACACAGGTGAGTTTTAAATGGTACTTCTGTGAGAGGCATTCAGTGCATGATGTGGTGGCTGGTAGGTGAGCCAGGGGAATTTTATTTTGTGGGTTAAGAGCCCCGTGCTAATTGCAAGATAAACTACCGAGTTGTGCTCATCGACTCTTCAGATGAGTGGGCACTGGTGATCCGAGAAATAGTGCATCGGATGCTGAGGTTTTTAATAAATTCTTCAGATTATAAAAAACCCTACAGTCTGCATCTAGGTTTTTGTTAAGAGCTTACTAATGTACCGTATTTTCCAGCATATAAGGCGCACGACAAGTATCTTAACAGTATATCAGTAACCACAGTCAGGGGTTAATTACCCTAATACTTTACACTAAAGCGTAACCCAAAGCCTACCCTTGACCCTGACCTTGAGCATATAAGGCGCAGGGTAATTTTCCAAGACTTCTTGTGGGGAAAAAAGGCGCGCCTGTGTATATATATATCTTCTGGTTGCAGCCTCCTTGTGTATAAATAATTCTTTTATTGTATAGTTGCAGCTTCTCCCGCATCTTCGCTACTACAACAGTCGACAGCAGAAGAGGACTTTGTTGATGGTGTCTTCCGTGAGTGTGATACTGACGGTGTTGGTTATGTGTCTGCCAGCAACATCGCTGCCCGCCTGGTGCTCGTACTCTCTGATCTCCAGCCCAGGTACACTTATATTAAGGATATACAATACCGACAAGTAGATGAGTAAGACGGGTTTGCAGCAGTGTGATATTTTTCTTGTAGAGACGTTTGCCTGTCAAACAGTCTTCTTCAGTCGAAATACTGAGGAGAAAAAGCATGTAGATACGAGGTGATCCATATCAACATGTTACGGGTAGGCGAAACTTCTCTTCAATAAAGCTACCACACTGAATGTAACTAGCATGGTGATACCAACAAAATGTACAAAACAGACACTTATGTGTAGTTCAGGACATAATTTGTCCACAGATTAGAGATGAAAACTAGAAAATTCGGTTCTGGCTCATACGTGAGTGATTCAGGGATCACGATCTCGCCGTCCAGTTTAGGACCAGGCCTCTCCAGTTAGATGCAGCGCTTTGTTACCCTTGTAGGTTTTGCGCTTAGTTATGATTGTAATAATAATCACCTGTTACATAATTTTGCAAAAGATAGAAACTGAGATGCACAGCTAATTAAGGGTAAGTGTATACCGAGTGTAAGTAGAAATTTGTAAGATTTTATCATGAGGAAGAAGAAGCGAGTCCTGCCAGATATCATTACAATATTACTGTACAATACTGACAAGGTGAGAAAGACGATACAATGCAGTCCATGGTGTCTATTTGAAGACTTGCCAGCCAGTGGCTTTATCAGTTCAATATAGAGGTAATATGATGCGTTGAAACTGGACGCAATACAAGAGCCCCTGAGGGGCTGATTACCTCATCTGTCTTCTGTGTATAATTTCTAAAAGGCTGAGGGGACTGATTGCTACCTATACTGTCTCCGGTTTCATTACCTTCAAACTGCCTCTATTAAATTGATTGTCAAAACATTTTAAAATAGATACCCAGGTGCTGCATGCGTGTCTTAGTCCTCAGTGCTGCTAGAATACAAAACGTTTAATTGGCTTCAGTTTCACTCCCGGATGGAAGGTTTTATTGCCCTGGACGGTATACACCAAGAGGTGTATGCCTCTCGGTGTATACACACTATGAGGTTACTTTAATCCCACTTTAAGAGATTAAAGTATTCTTGACTGCTGTATAGATTAGGGACGGCCTTAATGACCCTCGTGTAGTCGATAGTCTTAAAACGCCATTAACCAGTCTTTGAAAAGATACACGCGCGCAACAGTTGCATCGTCTGCTGTTGCTGCTGTATTCGACTGAAGAAGCTTACTGTGTAGGCGAAACGTTTTGGAATAAAGATACCTAATTGTTGCATATGTCTTACTCATCAACTTGTCGGTATTGCATACCATTATTATATTCACACAACTAGTCTGTTTCGAATCATCAGTTCAGGTGTCAAGGACAAACCGAAGCATCATCTCGCTTTCATTTCCAATTTGTGGGTTAATTGTGTATTGTTGCAGCCACAGAGCGGATGCTTATCTTGTATTAGAGGAACTGACCTCCTTATATTTACCTTTCCAGTGTTCCTCCCATCTTTAATATTAATCACTTCTGGATTGTACTGAAGAAGACGGTAGATCAGGCGAAATGTTTTGATAGATACCCAACTGATACACACGTCTTGAGTCGTGTGCTTGTCGGTATTATATATTTATTCTTATGTTGTCCATGCAGGTGGTTGGTGGATTCTCTCAGAGATGCTCTGTGTATGGAGGGTGATGAGAAACAGTTGGACATTAAGACGTATCGTGAGGTACTTATCAGCTGGCATCACAACTGTGAAACACATTTCAACATGCCCTGTTCTAACACCAGTGCCCATGCCTGCGAGGAGAGTAACACCATACCTCCTGAAGCAGGAAGTAACAGCTTGAATATTATGGATATGCTTTCGCCGCTCCGCCACAGCCCTGGGTCAAGCCAGGCTTCCTTCACACTATACCCAGGCACTACACCCATCCTGCCCCAGGGTTCTGAGAGTCTGATGGAAGATGAATTCTTCGCCTGGTGTGGTTACCATGACAACACAGAATGTAAGCCCAGGACAACGCCACCCAAACCCAAGTTTCTAACAGATAACTGCAAGCGCTCTTTGCAACGTGACTTCGACGCCAGTAATCGGTGAGTGTACTTTATTACACGTTTTATTGAAGTTTTTACTTTAACTTTGTGTAAAAATTCAATCTGCTAGTTACGGGGAAAATGGAACAGCTGTTGCTAAATATGGCAGCCCTAGTGGATCCTACAGACGAGCGTCAAGTTATACAAATTTCAGTAAGACCAGTTACCCTTCCCTTCCTGAAAGCAAACCTCATTACCTCCCTCTCACTAAGCTCTATGACTTACAGATTCAGGGTTTTACCATGAGTATTAAAATAGATACGGGCATTTCTCTGCATATTGAGCATTGGGGTACTCGCCTCACTTTAAAACGCCTGCATGCTGTATTTAGTACAATATGGCACTTTAGAATATGTCATAGCTCTTCAATAAATAGCCAGGCTGAGAGCGTATTGTCTTGTAGTGTTGGGTTGACCTGCATCTTTGAAGGTGGTCGGTAATGTAAGGGCGTCACCAGGTGGGGGGGAGGTGGTCTGAAGGCACCCAAACAAAATTCCATTAGGACTCCCCTTCCCCCTAATTAAAAATAATGCTGCTGCTTCAAGACAAGTCTGTTTACAACCACATTGCCATCTCTGAGATCTTGGATAGTCGGTTATATAGTCTTTATTGAAAATAGTACAACAAAAGGGGGTTGCCAGACTCGGTAGCCATGGGACCATCATTGGGTACGTGCTCTGGCCAGTAGGTTTGGTGTCGTTGATTGGTAGATATGGGAGTGAGGGCGTAAGTCATCGTTAGGTGGCATGAAGTACGAAATATCACAGAAGGTTAACTTGTAATAGTTAGGGGATGGACAATTTACTTTCAAAGATCAATCCTTTTTTTTAGCCGTTAACACTTCCATAATTTCTCTCTTGTATGAATTAAGTGGGTAATTATAATTTTTTTGTGAAGTTCTTTAGAGCAACTTATTTCTACCTCTGCGTGAAGTGTTTTCACTCTTCCAGGGAATGTCTTATTGCTGATGAATTTTGGGTCAAGGAATTTGAGCTACCCTCCAGTTCCTCCGATCACACTTGATAGGCTCCCATTACTCATGCGGCATGTGACTCCCAGTGGGTGTAGCGCCTCCTCATAACAAAGGCCCTCTTTAGCTGGTAGGATAGAGTAGGAATCCTACCTGTTTTATTTTACCTTCTGAAGAGGGCTTTAGAGGCTGATATTTACACAGTCTCTGTGACCCATCAGGGTTTAATACTCGTTTGGTTTAGTACAGTAATGTTCACCTTGTGCGTGTTATTTTGTCATGTTAAAATTACTATTATCACAGTAGTAGATAATAAGTAATGTTAATGCTATATTAACGTATCATATGGTCAGTAAATCTGCATCATATGGAGGTAAATGGTATAAAAACCAACACGATAAAAAAATAAGACACAAATACGATATAATGCGATCCTTTGACTCTCCACATCACTATGCTCATTATATAAACTCATGTTTACTCAGACCTGTTTGTGACTTGGTAGAGCCCACTGTGTGGGCGAAACGTAGTCAATAAAGGATCGCATTATACTACATTTGTCTGTTTTTCCTTGCATCATATCATGGTCATGTTTCCATGGTGTTGATTCTCCCTCCTAGTAGGAAATACTTCGACAAAAACGGTATAATGAGGTGAAAGTTTGTGGAGTTGAGCGTCGCGTCTTGTGTCGTATTCTACTCTCCACGCTCGGCTATTTCCCGCTTATCCGTCACATTATATCTAATGGTTATAATTATAACTATAATTTTTAAAGGGGTGGAGGGGCAAGCCAGTGGAAGACCTCGGTCAGATAACCAAAAGCTGTACCTGTAGGTGGCCCGGTAGCCTGGTGGCTAAAGCCTTCGCTTCACACACGGAGGGCCCAGGTTCGATTCCCGGCGGGTTGGAAACATTTCGACACGTTTCCTTACACCTGTTGTCCTGTTCACCTAGCAGCAAATAGGTACCTGTGTGTTAGTCAACTGGTGTGGGTCGCATCCTGGTAGACAAGATTGAGGACCCCAATGGAAATAAGTTACAGTCCTCGAGGGGGCTAACCCTCCGGGGTTAAAACTCCGAACGAAATCTTATATGACTAAGACCCAAACTAAACCAAACCACCTTAAGCAACACTTCCAACTGTATCCTCTTGTTTTTCTGGCCTGATTGAAATTACGTTTATTGGCGTTTATCTGGTTAATTTTGACTGAGAGAGAACAAACACAAGAAGGAATGACCATTCCACCAGCCTTAGTAGCCCATGCTAGGCAGGTCTGATTCACCCAGCCATAGTATCCCACTCAGGTTCCCGTCCAACTCGCATCTAAAGCTACCCAAAGTTCTTGTCTCAACATAAGCTAACCTAGTTGGAAAGAAATCAAAATACAAACACTAGGACAGTTTAAAACCTCCTGGTTCTGTGTTTTCTCTTTTTCCAGTTACTTGTAGGTATCGCGTACCATTTTTACCTAACCTGAGTAACTTCAGCAGATATTTAGCTAAACATCTGCTGAATGAATGATGGTGAAAGTGTTTTCTTCTTAGGGTCACCTTGCCTTGGTGTGAAACGCATGGTTCAGCAAAAAAAAAAAAAAAAAAAAAAAAAAAAAAAAAAAAAAGTTATGCAAAATTAATGCGTTCAGAGTTGAACGTTGCTTGCTCTTACCCGGCCCCTCAAGGAAGGTTCCTTGATGTTGGTGAGGGGCTCTTGATTTAGGGAATTGGATCTGTGCTCCAGTTCCCCGAATTAAGCCTGAATGCCTTCCACATCCCCCCCCCAGGCGCTGTATAATCCTCCGGGTTTAGCGCTTCCCCCTTGATTATTATAATATTATGCTCTTACCCGGATACCCCCCTGCCGGACGTGTCACAGTCGCTTTATTAGTTTATTTGTGGTTAAATGTTGTTTAATAAATGTATGTACCTTTTTCTAGCCTAAGAAAATAATATTGCAGGGGACGTTACAAAAGTGACGCTGGGAAATTGAACAAGAAATGGTTTAAAACGAGACTTTTTTGTATAATCCACTACGAGTGAGTTAATGAAGTTTGTACTGATGTTTTCTTAACATCAGCGCCACTTGTCTTAACTCTACCATGGTTTTTGTCTTATATTAACTGAAGCACATTACTTAAGCTGTTTTAGAAGTGTTCCGTAAGTGACTACTGTTGCTACGACTACTACCACAACTACTGTTAATTACTACGACGGTATTTTAAGTAACTTTAAAAAGTGATAAAGGGAAAGGGAATTACTGGCATAGGAGAGAGCAGTTAAAAATATAGAGATAGAGAGGGAGGTAAGAAAGGTTACGTAGCCTAGCCGCTCTGTGTGTGTTATCTGTAGTTTTGTCATAAGAGTTGTGCATCATATTTAACATAGAGTAACACTAATAGACGAAATAGAGAGTTGATCTAAGATACAGTAGAAATCAGTCAGGATTATTTGTGAATTTTTCAAGTCTCGGTACTGTGACTTGATGAATATCCTTGTCGGTATATTAATCCATTGATATACATTTTAATCCAGGGGATTATTAACCCAGGAGGAAGGGGGGGAGTAGATATTAACCCATGGTGGGTTAATAAGAGCTTTGTACCTGTGTGTTGGTTATTGCCAGCAGTAGTCCGTTGTGTGCATGACCCCCAGAACAATGTCAGCGTGGTTCTAAATGGTACAACAACGACGTTTGTGCAGTGGATCAGCTGTGTAAACAAAGCCGTTCACTCATCATAGTTCACTCTCGCTCTCTCGCTTTCTCTGACTGTTAAACAGGAAATTGCGTTGAGGTGTTCACGTGCCACGATCCCCTCATTGTTTCTCTGTAATGCAGAATAACTCAGTGTCGTGGCTGGAACAGTTTTCAACAGTGTCGTGGCTGGAACAGTTTTCAACAGTGTCGTGGCTGGAACAGTTTTCAACAGTGTCGTGGCTGGAACAGTTTTCAACAGTGTCGTGGCTGGAACAGTTTTCAACAGTGTCGTGGCTGGAACAGTTTTCAACAGTGTCGTGGCTGGAACAGTTTTCAACAGTGTCGTGGCTGGAACAGTTTTCAACAGTGTCGTGGCTGGAACAGTTTTCAACAGTGTCGTGGCTGGAACATTTTTCAATAGTGTCGTGGCTGGAACAGTTTTCAACAGTGTCGTGGCTGGAACAGTTTTCAACAGTGTCGTGGCTGGAACAGTTTTCAACAGTGTCGTGGCTGGAACAGTTTTCAACAGTGTCGTGGCTGGAACAGTTTTCAACAGTGTCGTGGCTGGAACAGTTTTCAACAGTGTCGTGGCTGGAACAGTTTTCAACAGTGTCGTGGCTGGAACAGTTTTCAACAGTGTCGTGGCTGGAACAGTTTTCAACAGCGTCGTGGCTGGAACAGTTTTCAACAGCGTCGTGGCTGGAACAATTAACTAGTCCACAAGAGAAAGGCCTCACAATACCATAGCTGGAACACTCACAATATCGAGGGTGGAGAACCCGTCGGTTTAGAAAACCGACGAGTTAAGTGAGACAGTTGTGTAGCATTAAGGTATCTTTATTGTGGAAACGTATCTCCAGCCATTGGCTTCTTCAGTCCGCTGTAGAGAAAGGTGGAAGATAAGGAGTTGAGGTAATCAGTCCCTCAGGCTGGAGTCTGCTAATATGCTGCACTTTATCAAGATTGATGGACTGAGGACTGATTACCTCAATTCCTTATCTTGCATCGTCCTTTGCATTTGACTGAAGAAGCCACTGGCTGGCGAAACGTTTCCAGAATAAAGATACTCAAATTTTCCTGGATTGTAATATTCTTGGGCGCTAGCGCTAAACTCGTACGGATCATAACGTCTTGGGATGAAATGTCAGGTAATCAGGTTTGATCCAACGAAGGGACGGGTTGCACGAATTTCTTGCTGTTTTTTCCCATGTTTATACATCTTTATCCCCTCAAGGAAGGTTCCTTGATGCTGGCGAGGGGCTCTTGATCTAGGGAATTGGATCTGTTCTCCAGTTCCCTGAATTATACCTGACTGCCTTCCACTTCCCCCCAGGCGCT